TACACAAACTAAATCTCAATATGAGGTTTAGGGAGTGGAGTTGTTTTGGTCGTGAGAAAAAGTCCTGCAACTGACAGGAATTGAACGCATGACCCTGGGATTGGAAGACAAGCATCTTAACCACCAAGCTATTCAACTCCACTCAAGAGGATTTTACCAACTTGATTTGGGGCGACGACGTCATTACAGTACAAACAAACTACAAAACAATAACAATTGTATTTAAAAATTTTCAAAAATAATGTAAAATTTTACGTCAGCTAAGAAAGAAAAGGTTTAACCAAGATTGACATAAAACTTCCTTTAAAGCAAGAAACATCAATCGTTTCCAGCCGGTATATATTGCATTGAGACCTGTCATACTAGTTCAGGCAGCTACTGTACAATAGGAATAGAGAATCTCACTTTTTATTCAGGGATGCTATTCCAATAGATAAAACTAGCCTAGCCTAGGACTACCCTCACCACTGATATGCTATGAAAATTTGAACTCTCTGAATTACAAATTTTCTCAATTACAAACTCTGTTCGGACAGAGGGATACATAAATGGAAACAGTGCAAACTTTTGAGACAACACATCTAAAGTAAAATGCTATTTTGAATGCTAAAATCTGGAATCCCATCAAGTCTACCTGTTTTAAAAATGGCTTGAAGTGACTAAAAAATCCTCAACATGGCTCAAACTATTCAATAATGTTTACATATAAATCTTATAAATAAAAAATAAATAAATATAAATCTTTATAAATCTTATTATAATAATAATAACAATTATTATTATTATTATTATTATTATTATTATTATTATTATTATTATTATTATTATTATTATTATTTATTACATATGAAGATGCATAAGTTTGTATCTGAGACCAAACAACAACAAATTAAATTGAGAAAACACAGCAGGACAGCCAAAAGCCATCTAACAAAAGACAATGAGAGATACACTATCTATTGACATCCATACAGTATTTGCATTGTCATCTTTGTCAATATGATTTATTAAGTGCAATTAAAATTTTATATTCTTTGATGTTGAATATTTACCCAATTTTTGTCCTATTTAAATCATTAGTTATTGAGATTTCTTAATGTAAATTTTTAATGTTTTACCCCTTAATATTAGTGTTTATCCTGTTTTGTTTTTTTTGGGGTTTTTAAAAAATGTTTTTATCTATTCGTGCACTGTAAATTGTCTCATCCAATCCATTTTTTTCGATTGCAATAAAGTCTAATTTGAATTTTTGAATTTTGAATCCTAGTTTGACAACATTTTACCTCTTTGCGTAAGTTTTTCTTCTTTAGAGAATCTAAATGTCGAAGCTGTTCCTTGTTGGCAGAAACCCATCCCCTGTCAACATCACTTACAGCCTACAAGAACAAAATCAAATGGGTATATTTATTCATTATATTCATATACGGTAGTGTCAAACCCTATGAAAAAAATTGAGAAAACAGTCAAATCAATTTGGAATCTGAACATTTGACAAATCATTTATGATCAGTATGTAGTAAATCAATAATATATAACATTTGTATAGCACATATATCCATTTTAAAGAAATGCAAGGCACTCATATTAATGTTAGGTCAAAATACGTTGGTGTTTTTTTCAAGGAGAGACTTATTTGCCACTTTACCTGAATAAATAATAGATTCATCGCAACTCTGTCTTCTTTCAAATCATCATCGAAAACAGGATCCCAATACCTACAATTAAAAAAATTCTTAATTTTACAATATTGAATAATATTTTTTGTAGGTTAGAATTATCAATATAATAAATGAAAACAAAACAACACTTTGTGACATAAGGACATAACATGCAATTGACTTTTTATTACTTAATTTAGGCAAATGGGCCAAAGATTGGCAGCCATTACTAATATAAATCATTGTCTGAAAAAATAAATAGCACTTCCTTATGCCCTGTCCAGCCTATCAAATTTTATTTGACAAAAACATGTGATATGCCTAAATATGGTCATGATGACATTACATCATGACCATATAGGCCCACCATGGCTATACTGTATATGGGCATTCAACAGTTTTTTGTCTCAAATGATATTTGAGAGTCCTCAAATGATATTTGAGAGTCTAGACAGGGCTTTACACCAGACAAACATAAACAGATAATGCTTTAAATTAAAACCAAGTCCCATTATATGGCTTGGGAGTGGAGTTATTTAAATAACATATTAAAATAATACTTTTATACTAGTAATTTAAAAAAAATTGATAATGTATTTGTTCTATGTTAAATGCATTTGGCCTATGTTAAATATATTTGGTCTATGTTAAAATTTCACCTATGCTGAATATGGTAAATGCTGAATGTACTGTATTGGTCTAGACCTAGGTTGAAAGTATTTCGTCCATGAATGTATTTGGCCTTTGATGAATATATTTGTTAAATGTATATGTATTCTACGTTGAATGTTGGTCTGTTGAATGTATTTGATCTTTGTTGAATATGTGACCAGCTCTGGCAAAACCAGCCATTTGTAGGAAAAACTTAAAAGTTTTTGCTACAAACGTTTTTGGTATTTTTCGATTCTGCATGAATTCTTCTTTAAAACAGTGTTCATTTGATCAAAATGGCTGAGTATTAGTCAAATTATAAATGTTTTAATTCATTGGATATCAGCCATGCAGCTTTGAGAAAATAGCTTCCAAATACTCCAAAAGTTTATTATTAAGATTTGTATTTTTAAAATAATTTTAATATACTTTTCAGTTAGATTTAGTGATTAATATTTTGCAGAAAAATGTTCTTCAATATATCTTCTTCATAAAATGCAAAATTCTGATTTTCGGTGCTTGTGCTAAATTACAAATTGCGACAAACGGCGGATTTTGCCAGAACTGGTCACAACTGTATAATGTATTCTATGTTGAATGTATTTGGTCTGTTGTATGCACAGTATTTCAACTATGCTGAATGATCAATGTATATGGTGTATGCTAAATGTCCATAATGCATGACTGAATGTTTATGCGTGACTAAGAATGCCCCCGAGGGAATGGAGGTGGTTGCAAATCGTACCTGGCTAATAGTGCCGCTGTGCAAATGACCAATCAGAGTAGTGTATTAATGGGAAGAGCTCTGAGACTGAGAGAATAAAGCTCAATATTTGGCAAAACATAATAAATCACAATATTGATTAGATTGAAAATGACTTACGATTTCCTTACTACTATTCTATGCGGTCCTTTTGATGAACTCAACGAAATATATGGCGATTCAAAATCATGTATTTTACGGACAACTGCAAGACAAAGTAATCACAAAAATAATAAATCAATTTTTTTTAAAAGAAAAATGTATTTTTGTCAATATTACCATTTATTTACACTACCAAATGAGCTATGACGCCAAATATTTTATTTAGGCAAGAATTTTGTTATATCTTGTTTAGCAAACCCACCGCCCACCAAGAATGATGATTTTGAATAAAAAATATAATTTTATTTTTGGCCAATTAGGGCACCTGCTGCCATGAATAAATTTAAAATTCAGAAAAAATTAAAGTGTTTCTTTACATTTATTATGCCCACAGCTGCCTTGAAATCTCCAATAAAATAAGATACTGTATGTATATTTCTTCCTAATTATGTAAATTTAAAGCATTTAACCATCCCAGTATTACACTGTTTACATTCAAAAAAAAAATTTTATTTTTATTTTCTCTTCCATCTTGATGTTTTTGGCAAAACCATTGCTATAACTGAGAAAAGGAAATTTTTTTTTTCTGCCATCCTCTGACAATCTTCAAAAAAATAATTTCGCGAAACAAGGTATAAAAAAGAAGTCTCGCTTAATTAATATAGTTATGAGAACTATAACCAACACATAAATAAAACCGTCCTTATTCATTGCATAGGCAATTAAAAGCATTGGAAATAATACTTATAAATACAGTACAGTAATAAGCATGTAAGCAGCCCCACTGCAATAGCTATACACTAATAACTGATCGATTCCTGATAAATCGGAAAAAATGAACAAGTTTTAACTTTCACTTCTTGATCTGTCTGGGAATCATAACCATCAACAAATCATCAGCTGAATTCACTAAATGTATTTTACAATACATTCTCTCTGTTGTCCCAACGAATAGTTTCGTGAATATACAGTAGTTATAACTACAAATGTACTATGTTTCAGGGTACATCAAGCTAAGACCCAGCAGAAGCAATCTTCGGTTAGATATTTTCTAGGCCAAGCCAAGGTCTTGTAATAATTGCTATATTGAATATTTCCATTAAATTGCTGGCAAGCGCTCTCCCGACAGCCTTTGGTGGTACATTATAGCGAGTTCATGTAAACCCGGCTTAAAATAATATTACCAATAATCAATTGTACTTACTGCTGCCTGCAGTGCTTTCATCCTTTTTGACAAGGTACAAGCCAAAGTAATAGACAAACTGATCTGGAAGTTCAATCTTAGATGCAACAGCCTATGAATAAAACAAACATATTCAATAAATCCTTGTTGTATGCTCATAAACTGTTGTAAACCCATATACAATCATGATGTGCCTATATTAATTATGGTCACATTGTGATGTCATCATGACCATACAGTACTTAGGAATGTCTAAATAGGTTTTTTTCATATCTTGCAAAACTTTTTTTGAAAAATCTGCATAAAATTTTGTTTCCCAATATGCAAAAATGGCTTTAATAAAAGAATCTTTGGTTGAGATGAAAACAAAAGTTACTGACTATTACAACTTTTGCAAATAAATGCTTATTTTATTCATTATGAGGAAGAAATTCAGATTTCTAAAATATGGAGACTTTACAGGAACAGAATATTTTTTTTTCTTAATTCTGAAATTAACATTCTTTCATGGCAACTGGTACTTCAAAATATTTTTTATTTAAATCATTTATCTGCAGAAAGGCAGGTTCACAAAACTGTCAAATATTCTTGGCTAATCAATACATGCAATACATGCATATCTGAACTTCTTGTCAATGGATGTCTGTGTCTGGCTCTTTATGTGTGCTGCAGTGGCAGCGTCAGCAAGGGTTTAAGCTCCACATTGCACAGGTCAAGCCCCCTACCGGCCAGAGCTCGTCGGACAGTTGGACCAAAAAAAAAAAAAAAATAAGCCTACGACAAGCCAACACCACTCATCTCAACCCTTCCCCGGCTTGGGCCTACAACACTTGGATAGTGCTACACGCTAAATTTATCCTTATCTCACTCAGTCTACCCACACTTCTCGGACAGCTTAGCATCCCCCCCACCCCAGAAAATATATCCAACAGCCTGTCTATCAGTTTTCTGTCTCAATGGACGTAATAACAAATTTTTTTCCAAAATTATTTTTTTTCTGAAATTTCCATCTTTTCATGGTGGCAGATGCGCTAACTGTCAAAAAATAAAATTTTATTTTTATTCAGAATCATTATTATTGCTGGGTGACAGGTTCACTAAACAAGGCATACAAAAGCAAGCATAATATGAAGTTGATACTAGAAGTATACCGAAAAGTAGCCAATGCATTTACAATATTGGCATTTGTGAAGCTATCACGTGGTGAGAATTCAATGGTACTGTATTCAACATAATCCATGTGAAGTATGCAGAGCAACTTGTGCCATGACAAATGTCTACCATAAATTATCTATACATAGGCCTAAATGTAAGCCATGCATAACTAGCCTATTTACATACAATAATATACTGAGGTACCAATAAATCCTATTCCTATTCTGATTGACTAACCATAGATTGAGTGGGCAAGAATGCTAAATGCTACTAAATGTAAAATAATTCTGTAAAATGGTTGGCACATTTCTGTAAATGAGGCCACAAGACATAAATCATATTTCCACTTCTATTGCTTCATAAAATGTGATCAAGGGTTATCAAAATAATTTCCTGGCTTCACTTTTATCGTCTTCCTATAAAATGAGGGTTATGCATATTTTGAAAAGTGATGGATTATAAGCAATGGATTATGAGCAATAGATTATGAGCAATGGATCATGAGAAATGGATCATGACTAATCAATAAACCATAAATTATCTATAAATGTACAGTAAACCATGCATAAGCCTATTTACATACAATAATAAAATATACTGAGGTACCATTATCCTATTTCTATTCTGAATGAGTAACCATAGATTGTGTGGGCAAGGAGCTTAAATGCCAGTAAACCTAAAATAATTCTGCAAAATTTTTGCTGCACTTCTGTATATGAGGCTGCAAGACAGAACCATATTTCCACTTCTATTTGCTTGATAAAGTGTGATCAAGTATCAAAATCATTTCCTGTTTCTACAGTATTATTGTACAGTATTCTATAATCTTCCTATGAAATTTATTGTATCTATTTTTATTTATCAGGTATAAAATACTCAAAATACAACAAAAGTTGACAATTTCTTGAGTTCACATGAAAATATGCCTACCGTACAGACAACATGAAACAAGAAAAATACAAAAAAAAAAATCCTCAGTAAATTATTGGGAAATAACTAATTATAAAAAAGCAGTATATACAATTATATAAAAATATATTATATTTTATTGTTATCATTGACAAAAATAAAATAAAATGATGTTCTTGTTTACCTTGTGAGGCATATTTTTGAAACTTTTTTCGTCTTAACATTTGTCTATTTTATGCATCAAGGAGGACTGTGGACGTGATAATCATTGATTGTTTCACACCATACAAGAATCTTAAGTATTGATCTAGACATTCCTGAAGTAGCAAATGAAGCTACACAGCGATTGTCCGGAAACAATTTATTGACAATCCTTAAATGGATTTGAAATCAAGCACTAGTTTGCTGAACACTTGAACTTTGAACAATTAAATCAATCATATAGTTTGCTGAGTGTACTATAGCTCATAAATACTGAACAATATGATACATACAGTAATACTGTATAGGCCTAGTGGATGTGATTATAATCTCCCTACAGTGTACAGTATAAGGTTGTTGCCAAACACATTAAATCACTCAATTGAAAACTGAAGCATAATCTAATACTTTTGAAAACAAAATTGATAATAATCACTTTGATATGTGTGCAGAAACACTTTGGTAGTGGGAGGGGCAGTATGGGAGGAAGTTGGAAGGGAGTTGTATCCTCAGACATCGGTTGTCTGGCTAACCTACTAAGGAAATGAATTGAACATGTCATGTTTGACATTCAAATAGAAATCCTACTGCAGAAATTCATGATTATAGATTTACCTTTTCAGGTGGATTAATTACTATTAAAGCATGGTCACTAATACATAGAGTACTGGGTTATTATTAGAGGTTTTACCATATTCTGGGTTATCAATATTGACATAAAACTAATCACCACTACCACTAGGTAGCACCACAGGCAAAATCAATCATATATATATATATACAGTAAATGCATTAAAAAAAACTTGTCTAATTGTTTATCATTCATACTGAGCTGTTATTTGCTTTGCGACAAGAAATTAGGATTGTTCTACATTTGTGAAATTGTGTGCAAAATTAGTTTCTTCCAATCAGATCAGAATTCCCAACCAAGACCTACTGGCCCAGTTGGTTAAGTTGTCTGACACAACAGCAGAAGGTCACAAATTCAAATCCTAGTTGACAAATTTTTCACACTTGCAAATCTCTCTCCTAAAATGTTCAAACATTTCAATACTGCAGGAGGTTTAGAATTTATATCTTTACAGTTAGTATCATAATAATTTGGTATTATTATTATTATTATTATTATTATCATTATTATTATTATCATTATTATTATTATATTATTATTATTATTTATTATTACTATTACCGGTATTATTATTTGATTTTATTTTATTCGGCTTTAAACAAATATTTAAAAGCATGAAAATCATTTTCATTTAAAAGACATCCAATCTCAAATTACATTAAAATCCATAGTCATTACATTAAAGTACTGTATCGAAAAAATTTAGAAAAACATGAGAAAAACATTATTTATTATTATTATTATTATTATTATTATTATTATTATTATTATTAATATTATTAATTATTATTAATATTTTCATTATTATTATTATTGTATGTAAACTGGAATATATATTACCGGTATTAACAAATTTAAAACTTGACTGCTTTGAAAACTCTGTTGACAGCTACCAAGGCTTCCTGTGGCTTAGCAGTACCCTATATAATGGATTGTGAATCCTGCTCCCTGCTGAGTTATTAATAGCCATAACGTATGGTGTATCAACCCATTGAGGTATAATAAAGTCTCCATATTCAAACACTACACAAAATCTTATGCATTACAACATACTTAAAGATGCATTGTCCCCTGAAAATGACAAAAAATCATATAAAAATAATTTTGAAATTAACCAAGCTCATTTTGTATAGCAACATACAAATTATTAACTTCAGCATAGAAATTATGAATTAAAAAAAATATGTACCCTGGTTTTTATATTGGATAATGATAAAAATAATAAAAACATTACAGTTGCTGGAAGTGTCTCTATCAATTTTCGCTGTAAAATTATGGGTAAACATTTTTCATGAGGTTATTATTTGAGGAAGTATATCATATCATATCATGAGGAAGTTATTTTCAAAAATGATTCTTATGATTTTTTTTTGTACTTTTCATGAGACATACGACTTTAAACATGTTTCAGCTTACAAACTCTGTTGTGAGTAAGCATTTACCACAAAATTTGAAAGTATTAAAACACTACTGTATTAATTCCTATTGTCATCAGGTTTAATTCCTATCATATATTTCCGATTACCAATTTCAATCCAATTAAGTATCAAATTTACTTTAATCAATTTACAATTTTATTGTAATTTATGATTTTTTAATTGGAATTCAAAATTTATTATTTTATTAGAAACAAAAAATTATTATCAACTTCAATTCTAACAAAAAATTATCATCAACTTCAATTCTAACTAATTTAAATATATGCGAACATTCAGAAACAATGTGCATATACCATTTAAACAAGTTTGAAATTTAAACTCTGCGTAAACACATAGACGACATCCCACACAATACATATTGTACAGGCAGGCCTTTTGGCATGTGGGTAACTCTGGGATGTTATACATAGGAACCAGTCATCAATTTAAATGCATACTGTATTAAACCAGAACAAACATAATCAATGAACTATACTTTACAGTGTAGTGGCTTGTTTTTTTCAGGTCTTTTTTTTGGAAGAATTATCTGGTATACTTTGCACTATAATTTATTATTCATACGTACTGTTCTGGAAACCATATCGCTTACAGGTATGATAATGTTTGCATACCTTTTGGCTCTGGTGTAATTTTCATTATCAACAGAAAGGCTGGTTCACAAAACTGGGACAAACTACTTGGCTAATCAATCAATAAACTTTCAATTTAAAAAATACATGGTATGTCACAACAATCTAATTTAATTCTATTATCCGCTTGTAAAAAGCCTCCCATAAAAACACAATTGATAAAAATAGCTCTTTCTCCACTTAGGTACACATTATGGAATTAATAACTGGCCTTTTGGCATGGGTAAAACCGAAACTGTGTGATTGTCTTTTGCTGGGTTTTTGGTGTTCATGAAAGTGCAGTTCTTTTTATATGCAATTCTTTTATTTACAATTTCTTTTCACTAAATATAATACAGTTCTTTTTATTTGCTCAGAAACCAGCAGACTAGAACCAAGTGAACTATAAGAAGAAAATCTACAGTTATGGCAGCTTGAGATGGCCGAAAATGGCACTCTCAGACTTAAAATTGAATATATTTTTCTTTTATTTCACCATAAAAAAAAAAAAAATTTTAATTTTGGGGAAAGGAAATGGGGCAAGCTGACTTGCACACAGCCCTCTCCCATCCAATTCTTGAATCTGCCACTAATCCTGAAGACCCACATTTTTCCATAGTTGAATTATTGCACTTATGAGACCCAGGTATATAGTGCTTGATATAATATTTTATGTTATATACTATAATTGATCAGTACTGACTGGATGGTCCACCCTCACAAAATACTTACTTACTATAGATCTATCTAGAACTATCTAAAAATAAGTCAATACTACTAATTAAGGAAAAATTAGCACTTTAAAACTATTTGAGATTCAATTTCATAAACTTTGTTTGCACTTAATGAAGTAATTTCTGATTTGGAATAAGGCCATCACTGGAAGCAACTGATAATAAAAAAAAAAAAAAAAAAGACAGAATGAAAAGTAAAAAATAAAAATATAATTTAATAATAAAAACTAATCAAAATGTTAATTAAGTTACACTGACCTCCAGTACATCTTCAGCTTGGTCAGTGGACATAATGTCCACTGTAATTTTATGACCGTTCATCAAGTACACATTGAGTTCTACGCTCTCTGGTATGCCTTTTTCTGTCTCTTTTTGTGCACTGATTAAGAATCCGTTAAAGACATCACTATTGGCTACCCTTGCATCCTGACTTACTGTAAAAGACAGAAACCAATAAGTAATAACAGGGGGCGTAGGCTGGAGTGTGGGGGGGGGTAGGGCCTGGCAAAAATTGCACGCAGTAATTTCCTGGTCCATCTTCTGCAAATTCACGGCTAGTTACGATACGATGCGATACGATTTGTTTTGTTCACTTTCAGATCAGTGGCACCCATCACTTTGATGGTGCACCCATTAACAATATAAAAATATAAACAAAGGAAAGCAAAAGACAGTTCAAAAACAACAAACAGATAAATAGCATAACAAACAAAAAAAAAAACAAAAAAAAAACCAAGCAATTTGCAGTAAAGTTACACTTATCTGTATATCTAACAAATTGTTACTATAATTAAATTAAATTAAACTGAATGAAACACACTGAGCTGCACAAAAACCTGTACTTAGTAGTTGTATGAAATTACCGGAACGTCGATTATTTATTTATTTTATTTATTTATTTATTTTCTTTTTCCACGGACCAGGGCAGAATCAAAGTCAAATTCAGTATAACATTACAGGTTCTTGTACAGCCTCATTGCGCTTCATCCAAGCAATATAAAGGTATTTTTTACAATATTTGTTGAAAATAAAACTTGCATCATTGTAATCAGAATCAACCAAATTGTATTTAAGGGGAAATTCATTATGGATAGACAGGTCATCAAAGATAAGATGGCGTCTATATTTTGCTAGTTATTTATAGGTTTTTAATAATTTATTATCAATTGTCTCATGAAAGTCAGTTCCCATGGGTTATATCACCATGCGAAGCAAAATAAAATTAGACTATGTGTTAAGAAAGCACATTTAACCAGATCTCCCAAAATTCACAAAGTAAAACTCAAAGGACCCCTGCTTGCCACAGAGTATTTTTTTCATTAAACCCTATATAAAATATGGTAAAAAAAAAACCAAAAACTTCATACTCACATAATTGAATATAATGCTCCAATTTCTCTCTTCGTTCTTCTTTCTGAGCTGGGTTCAGACCGAGCAGTTTCTTTGGAGGAAATTTAAAATGGTTGATGACTTCACTGCCAAATTCCTTCTTTAACTTTTCATTGAAATCGTGGAGCTGGCTATATCGTAAAGTTGAGTGCTCAACACCGTTAACATGCAAGTGATACCCCTAAAAAAAAAAGTGCATTCCAAATGAACATACTGTAAGAAGAAATGCAGGCAAAGAATACATTCAAGTTTCAAGATAATTTTATTGTCTGGAAAACTCAAAAATTACGTTCCACTGGCAGTGTTGTTACAAGTGTTAATAACATATAGTAATAAATAAAAGATAACAAAAATATAAAACTATGAGCAACAAACAATATCTAGTCATAAGATGTACAAAAAGAATATAAAACACTATTAAACAATATTACATATTAAACTTAATTAAATTAGGCCAAAATTGCACTTAAAACCACAATTGTCTATAAATATTATTATCATGAAGGTGAATGGATTTGGGAACAAAGGAGTTTCTATAACGACAATGTGTGGTGAGTAGTGCATTTAGGCGGGAGCCTGAGTTGTTAAAAGTAAATTCACTATGTTGTAGTGGATTGAGTTGTGTCGTTCATTATCTCCTTAAGTGTAGCTAATGCGTATTCGTCATAAATATCATCTAAATCTACAATATCATCTTTAAGTGTTTTCTTGGCAGTCTTTTGGATTGAGTCTAATTTCTTCATATTTTGTAGTGTTAGACTTTTATATGCACAGATTAGGCAATAAGTTAAAACACTCTGTATTTTGCTTTATAAAACAAGATACTACTAAGAATGGTGTTGTCTACATTAAGCTTCCTAAAATTTTCTTAGAAAATACAATCTTTGCTTTCCTTTTGTCATATTGTGAACTTGGTTTGTTTATCCCATAAACTGTTGTTCAACTGTTGAACAACAGTGGTACTTAGCTTTCAACTTGTTCAACTTCCTGAGTATTTATATACAATAAATCATGAGCACTGTTTGTTTTGTGAAAATCAAAGATCATTTCTTTAGTTTTGTTTAGTGTTCAATTTAAGATGATTAAGCTGGCGTCATATTCAGAAAATCTTTTAACAATCAAAATAACTAGTTTCATCGTTATCAAGAAATCCACTATAATTACAGTATCATTTGCGTATTTTATAATTGAATACAAAGAATGTAGGTATAGGCCGTTAGGAATTTTTTAAAGATTTAATACTAAATTATTATTCCTAAATTCCTATTTTATCTTCCAAAAATCTAACTTTCTGTGATTTAAAGTATTCAAACCATTGACTTACAATGATTTATTTTCATTTTTTTTTAAATGGCTTTTGTTTCCAGATTTGCTGGGTGCAGTTTACCTTTTGCCAAAATGTTTTCAGTTTTCATATCTTTTTAACAGAAAATACACAAATTAATTACTTTTAAATTTAAATACTCATAAAATAAAATATATAAAAAAGAAACATATTACTTACAGTACATGCTCTCTAAGAAAATGTTGCTCCTCAACAATTAAGAAAAACTATGTATGAATGACACAACAATTCACATTTAAAAAAAAAATTCCTTTAGGCACATTGCCAAGGATTACCAATATCGAGTTAATCACTGTCTTTAGAAGATAGGGTTAGGTGGCAATCCCTTCACATGGTAAAAGTATCAATGATGCTCTCATCGAGGCTTATGGTGTGCAGCTGTTTTGTCTTACTAAAAAATTCTAGAATCTGACAGGATTTGAACCCAGGACCCTGGGATTCGAAGGCATGCATAATATCCCTTCTAACTAAAGCCTTTTGATTTTTTCCCCTTAAATAACAAATTGTTTTTTAAATCCTCCAGATTTCAATTCCAAAGTTTAGGGATCGGCTTACACAATGATCCAGTAATGGTATACAATGCCACTCAGTATAAGCACATACTATTGGTATTATGGCCTACAATAGTGATGAAAATCCTTCTGTATAGTACAGTTCTTACATTCTTTAATGAATGCAGTAAAAATCATACGTACACACTCTACACACACTTTCTGCAACTATAAAAATGAAAATCAACTTTGTCCCACAGCACCATTAAAGGTACTTTACAGGTTGCTGTAGCCATTTTTGTCTATTTTAGTATAGTACTTTAATGGACACTCATTCATATAAAAAAAATGATAATTTTACTAGTACTAAGAACATATATTAGTTACATGCACTGCAAAAGGCCTAATTTTAATTAAATTCTAAAGTCTAAATTTGGATTTGATTTTAATTGATTACATTTTTAGAAAATACCAAAAATATAATATTCAGAAAAATTTGAGCTTCAGCTGGATGAGTCTACCGACATTACAAAAAAGGCACTTTTGCTTAATTATTTTCATCTGATGTAAGAATCATAAAGACTTGGTTGAAGACATATTGATGTGCAACGAATTAAAGACCAACACCACCACCACCACAGAGATTTTTGCCGTAGTGGAAAAGCAATATCTCCCGTTATCTATAATTTGCACTGGCTTCCAACTAATTAATGAATAAAGTATAAAATTCTACTAACTTTTAAAGCATTGTGACTCCAACAGCCCACTTACCTACTCAAACTCCTTCCTAAATATGTCTCCTTATCCTCCCCCCGTTCTTCTGACCTTAAATTGCTCATCGTTCCAAGAGATACACTAACAGCAACAGATCATTTTTATTTTCATCTGCCACACTTTCGAACTCCTCCCAAAACATACAGTACCGACTCACCTTCAGTTGCTATTAAAAAAGACCAAACTCAAAACTCACCTTTTTAACATTTGATTTTTACTTTGGTTTAGTGATATTGGTGCTTTCTTTATGATTCTTATTATTAAAATTATTATTAAATTATTATCATTATTATTATTATCATTATTATTATTATTATTATTATTATTATTATTATTATTATTATTATGAGCACAATGTACTGCTGTATTTTGCTGCAGTCAGACGGCTCTCGAGAGGTGATGCACTTCCCCGCTTGTATAACGTGCACAAGTCCAACCATCAGCACGCTGATTTCCGTGAGAATAAATTCCTGGCTACGAAGGGTACATCACGGCATGCATATGTACGATACACATTCGATAAAGTGACGCACCCTTCCCGGGGTCATATCGTGCATCATACAATTACAACTGATGGCTGCATTATTATTTCACCGTGGCTCTGGATATGGTACCGTATTTTATCTTCCGTTTTCTAAAGGTACGGTAAATTACATCATCCAATAAAATGCTACCAACAGTGAGACATCATTGTTCATAAATACTTGTGAAATCGCTCGCTGAATGCAGAGGAAGTTGGTGAAGTAACATTAGTACTTTGTCTTGAATTAATCCTATTACGGCACTAAAGTATCCTATGTCGCGGTCTTTAATACAAAAAATACATTGAAAACTATATTCAACAAACAATAAGCATAGACGTATTTATTTATAATAAGGGGCCTGCCTACCCATTATAATTAAAAATCTCATATTTGTGAAGCAAATTTTACAAATACTTTCAGTTTTAAATTCAAAAGAAAACTTCCAGAAGAGGGAAATTGGCCTTCAAAATTGGATACAGGTAGAATTGGGAGGCTTGCTGTGTTATTGTGTCGTGTATCAAAACAAATACAGTATAAAATTTAAAAATTCCACAACATGGTACCATAAGGCAATCTTCTGTCACATGTTCCACAATTGAGTTATTTTTTTAGCGATTGTTAATTTTAGTAGCTTAGTCACTTAAAGAAACATTGTGAAAGTACTGTATAAAACTCCAAGTAGGAATTGTTACTTAACTCCCTACTCAAAAAAAAAAAAAAAAAAAAAAAAGGCCATAATAAATATCGAACTATTGAATCCTAACACGATGGCGTGTATTACATTTTGATTTGAATTTTATTGGGTTCTCTTTTGAATCAATACCACCTATCATATTAGTGATTGTGCATCCAGAATACAATAACTTACAATAACAAAAAGAAGATACTAAACTAAAACCTAACTAAAACTATGCAAAATAATATAATATGTAATTATTAGTTACACAAAACTAATGGAGTATGTAGTACACACAGCTCAAATGTTACACTATATCAGGAAAAGGTTAAATTTATTATACCATCCTTCCTCATACGAAAGCTAATTACGCATTGTATACAGGCTTGGCTAGTTATTGTACAGTTAAGGTGTTACGTAATAATGTATCTTTGAGTGACTAACATACTAACACTCACTGTAAGTTTATAACTCTATTGGTTTACTTTATGGAAATGTGATAGAAGATTACTATCAATTGTTCTGTAGTTGTGGCATTTTTAATTTTATTTACTGTAGGCCTAGTTCTATATATTTTGGCGTGCTCAATTATGGACTTGTTTTGTGCTCCGTGAGTTCAACGTTGTCTTCTGTTCCTTAAAATATAACAACTCGGCAGGAAAGAAGGCTCACAGCAAGTGAGTTTTTAACGATGTCATCACGCTGGTGGCGGCATTTTATTGGATAATGCAATTTACCGTACCTTTTTAGCAAACGGAAGTTAAGTTATGGTACCGTATGGCGTTACTATTTATAGATAGGCCTAGATAGGAATCTACTTGGTTGGGCCTAATTATACCAGGGAGTTGTAATAGATATTGGTTCAAATTTTACATGCCGGAATTTACTTTACTTAGTTAGACTTAGTCGGTCTACTCTGTCGTAGTCTAAAGAGACTGGGCTAAGCCTAGCATAGTTCTATTTTATACTACTCACCCTACCAACAACCTTTTTTTTTAGCGTGGCCTAAAACAGAAGGCTAGCTGCTACACCACCACCTGGCCTAGCTAAGGCTAGACCACCATGACCATAGAACCGACCACCATGCATTCGACAAGTGCTCGAAAATAACAGATTGGATATTAAAAACAGTGCCTTAAAGCTGTAAATGTCAGCAAAACCCTTACCGTATATGTAGATCCATTCTCTGACGTGAACTCTTCTGTATCTGGTATTGAAAAATGCATAATGACATGGAAAAACGATGGCAAAAAGCAGAAAAATCAATGCATTTCTCTCATGATCGACTCTATCAGTTGTTTTTGTTACCGTGTAGTTTTGTAGGTCATATCAAGGGTTCAATTTAAGTTGGAAAGGTCAAATGGAACTCGAGCGTTTCCTATGTACTGCCCTCTTTTAATTGATAACACTTCATTTCTAAGAACCGTGGTACAGTAGTAATAATAATATGTTATGTTATATGTTGTCTTAAACAATTTTTGAATAATTAAACATTTAAATGGAAAAGCTAATCATAAATTATAGGCCCTAAGAATGTTTTATTATCTTGAGATCCAGACCACCTAATATGAAAC